CATCCCACAGGTGACCAGGGAGGGCGAGCTTGGACCAGATATCCTGGGAGGTTCCTGGGTTGGGTTTTTGGGGGGGGATGTTTGGAGAATGAAGAACTCCAAAGCTGAGCGGAAAATGCCCCTTGGGGGGACATTGGAGGGTCCCAGTCGTGGCTGCCGGCAGAGGCAGCCTGGAGGAGCAGAGCCCTGTGTTCCCCAGGACCCCAAAGTGAGGATCCCAGAGAGGGGGAGCGCCATGATTCACAGGACCCTCAATAGCCTGGAGAGGGGCAGGGAGGACTCCTTGGTCCCCCTGCACCCCCAAGAAGAGAATAAGGGGAGAAGGGACCCTGGGACCCCAAAAACCTCCAACATCCCTAAGTGTTGAGATAGAAATGAGGAGAACTTTTTGGATTCCTGGCACTCTCAGAAGCCTGGGGAGGGCAGGGATCGAGTAGACGGGGGACCCCCAATACAAGCGTGACCTGCAGCAGCTGGGACAGGGGGAAGCCCCTGACCACCAAAGGGGAGAGACCAGAGATGGAGAACTCCTGGGAGGCATTTTCAAGGCTGAATCTTGGTGTTTTGGAGGTTTTTATGGATAGCTTGTGATTTCTAGAGATGGACTTGGGCAGGAAGAACCCTCTAATCCAATGTGGTCATGAACTGTATTTTCCCCAAACCAGGATTTCCCATTCCCAAACCTTGGCCGGACAGAAAATGAGGCTGTGAGGAAGAGGAAGATGCCCCGGGACGCCCAGGCAGGTGAGGAGGAAGTCAGTGCCCCTTTCCCCCTCTCTCCTGCTCCATCTCCCAGCCCAGTATGGCCCCCGGCTGCAGGACAACCCTGCTGTAGACACCATCCTGCCAGGGACGCACTTGGGGGATCTCCTTCCCCTTCCCTCTGGCACGGAGGCAAATCCCATCCTCTCCTTGTCCTTCCTCCCCCAGACAAGGAGCTGAGGATGGAGACCAGGGAGAACAAATCCCCATGGCAGAAGCTCATGGAAGAGGCTGTTTTGAGCAGCTCCATGGCTCAGAAATCCAACAGGGAGGAAAATCCTCAGAGATCCCGCAGGAGGAGGGGCTCCAAACTCAGCCCAGGGTGCTCTTAGGAGGAAAGACCCACCCTGTGCTGGGAAGGCAGCCGGAGATCCAGCTGGGGCTCTGAGCTGGTGGTCTATGAGCAGCTTCAGGATGGGGAGAAGCCCTACAAATGCTTGGAGTGTGGGAAGAGCTTCAGCCAGAGGAAAACCCTGATCCGCCACCAGATGATCCACACCAGTGAGAGGCCCTATGAGTGTGGGGAATGTGGGAAGGGCTTCAGCTTCCACTCTGAACTCATCTGTCACCAGCACATCCACACTGGGGAGAGGCCCTACGAGTGTCCCAAGTGTGGGAAGAGGTTTCAGACCAGCTCCCATCTCCTCCTGCACCAGTGGATTCACACAGATGAGAGGCCCTTCTGCTGCCCTGAGTGTGGGAGGGCTACAAGAGAAACTCCACCCTCATCATCCACCAGCGCATCCACACTGGGGAGAGGCCCTACGAGTGTCCCCAGTGTAGGAAGAGCTTCTCCAGGAGCTTTAACTTAACCAAACACCAACAGAGGCACGGGTATGGGAAGCCCTGAGAGTGCCCCAAGTGCAGGAAGAGCTTCGTGTGCTGCCCCAGCTCCATTCCCCCATCAGAGGACCCATGTTGGGCAGAGCCCTGATGACCCATGTTCCCAGTGATCTGTGTTGGGAACACACTGGGCTGGTGGTCATTTTAGTTTGGTTTCAATTATCTTTTGATTCATCCTCATCCCTTTAAAACCAATAAATAGTGGCAAAAATCAACAAATTCATCAAAGGCATCTAAAACCTTACATTTTACTAGTGCTTCAAGGGAATCTGGGAGATACTTGGGAATATTTGGGGATTGTGGGCGTATTTGATGTAGTTGTGTCTATTTCTTGGCACTCAAAGAGACGAGAGGGTTTGATCTGTCACTTCAAAACCGCTCAATGACACTGAATCCTACTCAGTCCCTCTCCAAAATTATTAAATTCCACAGCCCCTCAGGGTGTGATGCCTGAAGTTTTAGCTTTCATATTTTTCATATTCTGTTCTGCCTAGGTTTGTAGTTTTGAACTTCATATTAAGTGTTAGTGAGCTGTCTTCACAGAGTAGGCAGGCAAAACAATTCCTTTTCTAGCTTGATACCAAGGACAATTGTTACAAGTTCCATGCCCAAAAGCATGAACAAGGGTGGACTGAAGAGAGGAAACAAGAAGGATGGGACTTCATCATCTGACGCTGTAACTGGACCATGAACCCCAATATGCAGATGGACCTAAACTTCTAAAAGTGTGAGATCAGTTGTCCATTTTTATGACCATTTTTGGTCCATCTTGGGTGTAGCCCTGGCCAGTCTCTTGTATTGCCCAAGGTGTATCTGTAACATGCTGGTCGTGGGTGGGGAGACAAAATCCACAACTCGTGCTCCAGTTCCTCATCAGACAAAACAGCCTTGTTTATTATTCAAAGCTCACTTAAATACCCAATTCAAATTTCCCAGGCTAGACAGCCATTGGCTGATACTTCTCTCCCTGCCCAGCATCTTGGCCAGTGGTGTGCAGTGGTTCAGACATGAATTAGGCTCGCTAAATTAGATTTGTGTTATGGCTAAAGTAGATTTACTGCTAAATTAGATTTGTGTTACATCTAGATTTATTTTGTCCAGTCCTGACCAGCTGTACTGTGACCATACTGTGACAATTCACCCTTTTTGGTTAAATTAAAAAATATAAAATGCTCTCTGTTATCCTATCTGCAAGGGCCCTTTGCAGACATGATAGCAGGGACAGCATGGGTTTAATTTGAATGAAGTTTTCTAATTAATTTGACACAATTCTCTTTGGCTAGCAACATGCTTTGCCTACTAAATTGAGTTTGCAACACTCACTTCCAGGAGCTGGCAGACAGGATCACAATCCTTCAAGCTAACATGCCACAGGTTAACTACTTATAGTTAAAAGTTACAACTTAACATTAAAAAACAAGGAACTGTTTAGAACTGAGATTATACCTGAATTCTTTAAACAAGAAACAAAAAACATTCAGCATTTACAACTGTGAGAAAAACCCAACTTAGCAGAAAAACAATTCGTAAACAAACAGTTTTTAAATGAACTGTCTTTTCAAGAGTCTGATTTTCATGGTGAATAAGTTGTTCTGGTTACTCTTCTTCAATCTGCTCCATCACATCCATTGAGGTACTGTCAGGTGGGTGTTGTTTGTGGTCTTTGGCTGTATGTTCAACTCTTTCACATCAGTTGCAGCTTGCATTATCACTTCATTGTCCCTGAGCTGTCGCCTGTGGAATGGGCTTGTGTGGACAGTTTATTTTCACGTGGCCTTGTTTTCCACACTTGTAGCAATGGGGTGTGAGTTTAGCAGCAGCTGTAATAGAATTGGCTAACATATCCGTGTTAGGAGATCCAGTCCCAACCTTAGCACATGCTGTAATCATTTCCTCCAGGGACAGATTCTCTTGAGGTAATGCATCTATAATTTTTCTACAGTCTTGGTTTGCATTATCTCGTGCCAGTTGTAGCATTAATTGACCCCTTGCTTCACTGTTTGCAATTTGCTTTTCCTTAGCATCCTGAATTGCATATATATGTTCTATGAATTGCATATATAGCTCATGGGGGTTTTGTCTTCTACTTGAATAGCTTTGGGTTGGCACTGACAAGTTGGTAATTTCTGTTAGAGCTTGCATTGCTAAGTCTTTCACTTGTGTTAGAATTGCAGAGATCAAGCAAGCCTGGTTTGGGGATCTTCTGATACTGCTAAATGATTTATTGTATGAATAGCCTTAGCTACTTTGCTTTCTGTGGTCCCACCACACGTTCCTCCCTTTTGTTTTTCAATTATTCCTTTTACAGTGCCATGTGCTCTTTCCACAATGGCCTGTTTTATTGTTATTTGAGGAACGGCAGTGTGGTGTGTTGCACTCCAGGGCTGTAGGAAATGTTTTGTTTTCTGTGAGATGTATGTTGTTTTGATGCTATGAGGGATGCTCAAAACAGCAAAGGCTGACTGCCAGTGTGCAGTGGCATCCCGACCCTTTTCTCTTGTGTGTTTTATAGCACATATTGCTGACAAAAAGGTATCTACAGATAAGTGTACATATTTTAAATGTCTAAATTCAGGGATGTGTGTGACATGGGTTTGCCAGATTTGTAAGGCATGCAGTCCACATGGGTTTGCTCCCATCTGCAGTGGTGCAGTGTGGCCCTGGTGTCCTGATGGGACACTTATTCTTGGGTTCTTTTTCCCCCTTGGACTGAAGATTGACGAGAGAGACAGTTTTCTCTTGTTTGGACTTGGTTGTTTATTCTTCTTTTATCTCCGTTACCTGTATACAGGGTACAAGGAGCTACAAGCAGCTATGTGTACAAAGATAGAATGGTGCAAAATTACTAACAAAGATCTTCTTCAAGTCTTTTATATGTCTACTTAACCAATTAACAAATGCCAAGGAAATTATTTTCCTTGGTGACCCAATGACCCAACATCTGTGTGCTGCAATGCTGCATTCTTTATCCAATACCTTACTACTATCCAAAAACCTCTAGAAGAAGATGAAAAAGAAAGAAGGAAAATAGACAACACCCTGAATCCTCCATCTTGTCCTCTATTTTCTAAACTAGTCTAAACTCCAAACTTTAACTTTTTTACACAGTGACATAAGAAATCTCTCTAATTTACACACTTACACACCTAGTTTTTCTATTTAACAGTTGTTTTCATGGTGTTATATGAAATTCAGTGTTTTCTTGGGTGTCAGAGCCAGGTATCAGAGATAAGGGCACACTCTCAGTGCCTCTGACTCCAACAGTAAACGAAGTTGAATATTGTTAAATCCTGAAGTCATATGTTATAAGTCAGCTTAAATACTGTTAAGTGCTTTTGCTAAATTGTGATGTTTGAGGTATAAATTAAGGTATAAGTGAAGTCCTGTTAAGTTTGAGCTCTGTTAAGCTCAAACACTCACACACACGGACGGTTCTGGGTTCATTTCTGGTTGGATTGCCTGGATTTTGTTTAGTTTTGTTGTTGCTTTGTTTGCTTACTGTGCCTGAAGTGTCCAGGCAGGAGCAGAGTGACTCTTGCCAAGGTACTTTGTGCTGCTGGCACTTAATATTAAATCTGGTTTCTGCTACTCCCTTGCCAGGGATTTTTTAAACACTCTCAACCTCTCATTTGTGACAGGGTGAAGGAGCCCTGGCCCAGGGTCTGTCCCTGGGGGACACGGGGACTCTGTTGGGGGGTCCCTGTCCCCCTGTCCCACCCCCACAGCCCTTGGGATGTCCCAGAGCTGTTCAGGGATGTCCCAGCCTGGTCTGTGATGTCCCAGCCCCTCTGAGATGGCAGAACTCAATCTCTGATGTTACAGCTTTCTTTCTGACATCACGAACTCTTCTCTGTGATGTCACAGGGAACACTGTGATGTCACAGAGCTGCTCTGTGATGTCACAGCCTGCTGTCTCATGTCACAGAGATGCCCTCTGCAATTGTAATGTCTGCTCTGTGACATCACAGCCCACTCTGGGATATCACAACACAGTGTCACAGCCCATTCTATGATGTCACATTACCACCATGTGACTTCACAGCATGTTCTGTGATGTCTCACAATCAAGCAGTGATGTCACAGTCCACACTGAGACATCACAGTCAGCTCTGTGATGTCATAAAGCAACTGTGATATCACAACCTGCTCTGTGATGTCAGAACCCTCTCTGTGATGACGTACATTCAACCTCTTATGTTATAGTAATGTCTGTGATGTCACAACCCACTAATTCCATCACCCAGCCCACACTGTGATGTCATACAGCCACAATCTGACATCACAGCCTGCTCTATGATGTCACAGAATCCCCTCTGTGATGCCGTAGCTGCTCAGTGACCTCACGCACCAAACTCAGTGATGTGACAGCCCCATCTGTGACCTCACACAACCCACTCTGAGCTGTCACACAGCCTGTTTCTGACATCACAGCTGCTCTGGGGCTCCAGGACACAGCCACAGAGGTGCCGCTGGGACACAGCCCCCTCTGGGACATCCCACAGCCCCTGCCAGTGCTGAGCCCCTGGCAGCTCTGTCTGGGCCTGCTCTCTGTGTCCCTGAGATGCCCTGGCAGGCTCCAGCCCTGCTGGGCTGTGCTCAGGAGCTGCTCCTGGCCAGAGCTGTCTCTCTGCAGCTCTGCCCTTGCCAGGAGCTGCCTCTGGGCCAGGAGCCCGGCCCAGCTCAGCAGCACAGACACAGCACCAGGACTTTTCAGGCTCTTCCTGGGGCACTGGCATGTGGGGATGTGCAATGCCAAGGGCAGGACCATGGGGCAGCCCCTGCCAGGCTGCTGAGCAGGAACAAGGAGGCAATGAGGCCCCAGGACTGCCAGGGTCACTTGTCCCCTGCTGGCCTGAGGCCCAGGGCCAGCAGCCATGGCCAAAGGGCTGCACAAGTTGCCTCTGGCAGGGCCTTTCAGGTACACAGCCCAGAGCCCTCAGCCTCTACCTGCTGCTTATGTGAGGAGGCCTCCAGACCCCATCCTGGGAGACCTTTGGGTCCTCTTCA